CCCTCTTTTGCTCTCAGGAGGACCTTGCTCTCTGTGTGCTGGGGAGAAAACATGCAGCCTACATGGGTAGGGAAGTGCTGCTTGTAAGATCAAAGCTAGAGTACCTCCATTTGACCCACTTCAAACAGGAACTGAGAATGGTGGTTCTCCAAGTGTTTGTTTTTATTGGGTTTCCTGTGTGGAGTTTAGGGAAAACTGACAACAGGAGTTGTTTGAAATAAAGCTGTAATTTACTGCCCTAACATGCTGAGAAGCAATTAGATTCAAGCTAATTACTGTAAATAGTTATTCTAATTAGTTGTAAAACATTCTACTACCTGTATGTCTGTTAAAGTCAGTCAAGACCTATAGACTTCTTTTAATTTTTTTTAAAGAGAAGACTTAATATCATTAGTTAAGGGCTAAATTATTTTCTTGAACTCTTCAAAAAGAAGTAGCTATACCATAGAAACTACTGATGGAGACAACATACCCTGTTGGGGCGTGTATCCCCTTGACAAGACTGAGTGGGTGCATTAGTAAACTGGCTGAAGAATTGTCTAGGCTAGCTTGTATTTCCAGAACTTTAAAGGAGCTTTCTCAAAAGAAAAAAAAATTTGCACTTGAATACTGATTTTCTTAGCTTTGTCCTATTTATCAGGTTTTTATCTCTACTTGAAACATAAAAAAAAATATTTTCTTCCTTACATCGTTTTATCAAGAACATTACTTTTTTCTTTTGACATTGGACAGAGTCTGGCCTGGCCTGATGCACAGTTTTATACCACACTTTGGCCGGCACACAAACCAGCTGAAGTTCCACCACCTCTTGTGTCCTCACAGCTCTCAGTTCCTGCTCTTCACACAGGTCTTCCAGCTCTGTTTCTGAACTTGGCCCAGCTGTCTCTAGTTTGGACAACTATTTTTGCACCAGCTGATGGATGCTGAGCCCATCCCGGTCTGCTGTTTGGGTTCTGGTTCACCTGAAACAGGTCTCCTGATGCCTGGGAGTGATTCCAACAAGCGCAGATTATTCACTTTAGCTTGACTTAGCACACAGTAATGCATTGGCAAATTCTTTCCAACAACGTGTGACTTCTACCTGTGTACCAGTCCTTCCCACAACAAATATACACCTTTAGCCATCAAAAAAAAAAAAAAAAAGGCAAATACAAGAATGTATCGTTGAGTTTTCCTAGCATTGATGAGCTTCATCTCAGCTCTACCCTTACTACCACAGAGGAGCCAACTATTCATAACGCAGAAGAGGGAATGGTGAGGGACCTGCCAACAGGAAGTTTGAAAGCAGCTCTCTGAATATTGGAATGTGAGGGGAAAAAGGAATTAGAAGTCCATTTTTTAACTTTCTGTGTTTGATTCTTTATTAGCTCGCTCCTGCTCTGGGAGGACATTTCCTTGCACACTTTTGCCTTTTTAGCTGGTTGTAACTCAAAGCAGCTTCACACAGGTCTTGTGCAGTTGTCTGAAATGCTGCTCACAACTTCTGCAGTTGATAGGAGAAACTGCCAGAAGCCAAGGTGATGGCCATAAGCTGCTCTGAAGGGACTTCACAGCTCTCAGATTGTCCCATAAGCCTGAGGTATTTTACCAGTGGTATCACTTAACAAATGTTTATGAACCAATAGACCTCAGACCTCAAAGTGGATATTAAGCTACTGTACCAATAGAGGTGTACCTCCAAAAGGTAAGGGAAGACAAAAAGAAGAGGAAAGCAAAGCAAAAAACCCTAAAATATATGCATTCCTTTAAAAAAGTTTTAAGTGGTTTCATGTAACAAAACTCCTTTCTTACAGTTTTCCCTTTGAAATACTCACGTCTTGCAATCCCAGTACATAAAAACATTTCCTTTTTTAAAAACTGACATATGGCAAAAATTTGTAGCAGTAACTAAATGCACATAAAGCTAAATTGTGCCATCCTAAATGTTAGTAAAAATGACAAAATAAAATACTATCTATATAAACTACGCACAGGTGTGTAGCATATTACAAGCAAAAAACATATCTTGCAATTATAAGCCCACAGTATTTATTTCACTTGTCGGTAATTACATTTTATACATGTTTGTTTAGTAATATCAATCCAAGACATCATTTGGAGGATATAATTAACTGCATGTTAGAACAGAATGTGTTTGACTGTTTGTGTGTGTTGAAAGAGACAAAAATGTTTGTTAGCTGTATTTAAGTGCCACCTAGTGTCACAATTCACCAATTTCGCTCAGAAACCCCTCTAAATTTTCAGAGCAAAATCAAATTGCAGGGTTTGGAAAAACCTAGGGTCACAATGCTACCATTTCAGTGCTAACGTTAAGTCCTTAATCCATATTTAAGTGCTCATGGAGTACGCAATCTCATGCCTACACTTCTACTGCAGACTGTGACCAAGCAGAAGAGGAACTACAAAACGCACACGTGGTCGTATGAGCACAACTGGGCAGTAAATACAGGTCTCAGGGTCCCACTGGCAGGTATCCAGTTTTTCAAATTTTTGTAGCAATGATCCAACAGTAAATTCACATAAGGATAGAAGAAGTTATGAAGTAATGAAGACAGTATCAGGGTGGAAAAAGGCTTTTTATAAGTATTATTAAAGGTGGGTTTTTTTCTGTAAGATGCACGATATAACTGGAAACTGAGGGGGGGAGACACACGTAATATGACACACATTTAACAGTAGAACACAGTGGAGTGAGGTGCCAGTGCGTTCAGATCTGCAGGAGAATGCCTTTCTCCATGTACATGACTTCTTCCCCCAGGTGTATGTACTGAGCATGGCACCAGATGGTCTGGAATATCCCTTGGGTCAGTTGGGACCAGCTGCCCCGGCTGTGTCTCCTCCCAACTCCTTGTGCACCCCCACAAGATGGAGTGGAAGCAGAAAAGTCCTCAACTCCATGTAAGCCCTGACCAGCAGTAATAAAAACATCCCTGAACTATCAACAGTGTCCAGCACAAATCCAAAACACAGACCCAGACCAGCTACTGTGAAGAAAATTAACTCTACCCCATCTCAAACCAGCACATGGGGATTTCTGGCTGTTACTAGCGCTATTTTTTTTTCAATAATTTTGAAGTTTGTATTCTTGACAAGTCCGGAACTGATCTAGGTTAAAATAAGAGTTTATAGCTCATTAGCTACGAACTTCACCCACTGTCATATAAGGCAGAAATTATGGCTTCCCTCCTGTCTCTGTTTCTGCGACACCGAACAATTGATAGTATCTGTAACTTAACTAAAATGCTCTTTGCATTCTCTCCACAAATGGCATCCATAATGGTTTATGTAAACCAAACTTCAATTTGTCTCTATTCTTCCTGAAATTCATTAAATGCTACAAGAAAGAAAGATCACGGCCATTGCAGGGAGCTGGCATAGCTCACAGTGGAATATGCAAAACACTTGGGCTTTCTGTTAAATTTATCGAGACCGTAACTGTTAGCTTTCCGCACCATTAGAAACGAGGACTGACTCCTATGTCTCTGTGTCATTTATTGGAAAGTCTTGTCTTTAAATCACAATGGTAAAAAAAAAAAATTAAAGTAAGTTTTTAAGTACTATTTATCCAGACTGCTGCAATAAGCATGGGTAAGTTGACAAGTACGCAAAAGAACTTGTATTTATGTCATGAAGTGACTTCATATTAATTTGTTGCAGAAATGTAAAATCAGAGAATGGGAAAAAATAGAAAATACAGAGATGAATAGTTCCAAGAAAAAACTTCTGATCTGCAGTAAAAAGGCTTGTGATGAGTCATCTTAAACTAGGATCAGAAAGAAAATATTTAGGGAACACAAGCATTTTCAGAGCAGCTTTTAGAAATTGTGTGTCTGCAGCTGCAAATGTGCAAAAGCTGCAAATGTGCAAAAATCAATCGGACACCAATGAAATGAAGAAAAAAATTATCTTTCAGCTTTATCTGGCTCAGAATATTTTGGTTTATGTTTTCTGCTAAGCACAAAACATTCATTAAAAAAAAAAGGTGGACTAGTTGTGCTTTTTTATTTGAAGTACATTTGGATGTAAGTTTGACTATTAAGGACTGGAGTCGCCTAAGCAACTCTCCAATACTGGAGCCGGGAAGGAATTCAGCTCCGACACACGGGGGCAGGATCACACCAGAGGGTTTGGAAACCACATGGAGAACCGGGCTGGCGCTCCGGGCGCACTCCCCGGGCCGCACATGGAAAGCTGTGTGCCTTGTCCGGGCACGGAGCAGTTGTTTTAAAAACAAACGACCCTGAGCAAGACCCGTGAGGCTCCGCGACCCGCGGGCCCCGTGAGGGGCGAGCGCCGACGCCGACACCGCCACCGCCCGCCCCTCAGCGCTCCCGGGCCCGGCCCTGATTGGCCCGGCGCCGTCCCGCTCCTCCAATCCCCGGGGCGAAGGCGGGTCTCGACCCCGCCCGACCCCGCCCACCGAGCCGACGGCTCGGTCCCACCTTTCCGGCCGTCTCCATGGCAGCCCGGGGGGGCGGGGGGTTGTTTTAAGGCGTCCCGGAGACCATGGCGGGTTGTCGTCTTTCTTTTGGAAGCCGGAGAGGCTAAAGGTAAACGGCCTGGTTTGTTTATGTATTTAATTACTTATTTATTGCCTGACTTCTCCTTCCTCAATCCTGAGGGATGGTGCATTCCGACGGATCGTAAATCCTGACACCCCCTCCCCCCTTCCCCAGTGGTAGGGCTCAGGCGGTGCGCGTCGCTCCCTGCCTGTCAAGGCCGCGGCCTGAGGGGGAGCGGACCCGGGACCGAGGGGTCCTGTCCCATCCCGTCACGTCCTGTCCCGCCGCCCTCGGCCCCAGGGGCCTCCCGGGGCTGCTGACGAGCCGGGAGCTGCCCGTGGGGGCTCATCCCGGGCTGCCTCCGGCCTTGGCAGCCGCCCGGGGCAACTGCGGTTGGAGCGGCTTCCCCGCGGTGCTGTGGGCAGGGGGTGCTCGGGCTGGTGCTGCTTTGTCGCTCCCGTTGTGAGCTGTGGGCGCCCCTAAAGGCACGAGGTGCGTGCGGCGGCGCTGCCCGTGCTCTGTTTTCTCCTGTGGCCACTAAAGGTGTTGCTGATGAGCAGATACGGCGCGAACAGCACGACGTGCCCCGGCCGAGGGAAGGAGCGAGCGAAGGGGGAGCATTTTATCAACAGGCCAGGTGGACAGAAGTGTTTTCAGAGTGTGGTAAAGCACGCATCCCTAGAAGATGCACCCCAACTTCAGCAGAGGCCGTGTGTAAATAACTGGTCGCAGTGTGACTCTTGACAGAGAGGCCTTTCCCGACGTTCTCTTTACCTTGATGAGATCTTTCAGCTCTCGCGCCCTTTAATCTTATGAACGCGTGATAAATTATTTAATTTTGTTTGATGTGACAACGACACAGTCACTTCTGAAACGAAAAAACAATAGGCTGTAAAACACTTTAGGCCTTCTGAAAAGTGCCGTAGCATCTTTATTTGCATAAGGGGGCACTTGATCCCCTTAATGGATAAGAAAAAAGAACCAGTAAGATGTAAACTATTTAAATTGTGTACTCTTTCATGTACTGAGTTACAGTGCTGAAAACGTGAGCTCAGAAGTTTTTGCTTAATTTTTCAACCACTTAAAAATAGTTTATTAGCTTAAGTTACTTAGTTAATCAAGTTACTTAGTTTAATCATGCCTATACATAGAGTATCTGTGAGATACTCCATATCTGTCTCACTGTATCTGTGAGAAGTAGTTAAAAATCATATTTACAAGTAACTTTGTGTTCAGTGTAACATGACAAAAGCCAGAAATCAGTACTGTAAACAGTAATACACAGTTTTTACAAGCACAGAGTTTGTGTGCAGTTGTAAGCATCTGATACTTGAGAAAACTTAATGCTGAATCTGGAACTCAAAAGTAAAATTTTAATTCTCTCATAAATTATTAGAATACGGTAAGATTTTCCTAAAACATATTGTGAACATTAGTAGTGTGAATGTATTCAAAGCATAATGTAGCGATGTCTTGTGGCAGGTTTTGTGTAGATAGCTGACATATAAATATAATGTGTGCAACTTTTTAACCAGAATTGTTTAATACTGGAAAGTATATGTTGATGTCTCTCTTTGGAAGGTTTTAATTTCACTTGATTTTCCTTTTGTAGGGTGACAAAACCAGGGCAAACAACTGAAAATGTCATCCTATTTGGCTCAGGAGGTTCACCTTGCTCGAAGACATGAGGAGATGTAAGTAGTTGTGTTCTACCTCGCAGCAGTTTGTGCTGGGGTCGTGTGAGACCTCCCTCCCTGCACATGACCCTCGGTGCCCGTGAATCCGAGCTCTGCAAGGGGCTGGAGTTCCAGGAGGTGGCACCCTTCCTTCATGAACCATTGGAGTTAGCATCCTTGCCTGCCGTTAAGGGTATCTAGGTTGATGAGTTTTTTGACTAACAATGGTGATACTGGTTTAAGATCTCCATTGTTAACCTCCTGTCACTGTTAAATTCCTATTTGGGGAAGGTAATTGGATTTTCTCACTCAACGCCTCAGTTATAGAATTGCTTCTTTGTTGCCCTGTAAACTCAGATTGTGAGGCAAAACCAGTAATGATTCAGAAAAGTCTGTTTTTCTTGTAACAACCAGTACGTGCCAACGAGCAAAAGCAGTACCGATCAAGTCACCCCAACCCACCCTGTCTTTCCTGTTCTGGGAGATTCAGTGTTTCTAAGCACCTTAGCATATGAGGGCTGCTGGTTACAACGTTATAGCTTCATACAAGCGCAGCAGGTGATGCCTGCCTGTACCTTTTCCCTCCTCCAGCACACCCACCCTGCAGCCGGCTTAATTAGCCCCATAGTTTTGAGAAAACTGGGTAAGGTAAAAAGGTTATTTTCTAGCTCCTGAGCAAAATGTTCTACCCACTTAGCAAAATGTTTTCCTTTGTAGACTGTCTCAGAGATCAGAGCTGCTACAGCAGATGGAGACTTATCTAGGAGACAAAAAGACTAAAAAGACATGGCAAACTCAAGCAGCTGATGCAGCTCATAAAAGGAATGCAGCACTTTTAAATGTAAGTTTCTGCAACTACCAGGAACCGCATCGAAATGTCATGGTTATGTAGCTTAGATAATTAGAAAAAAAAAAAAGTGTTTGCTGTATAGTTGTCATTTGAATTCTCCTCTGTACAGTTCCCTCTTCTGGAACTCGACCAAAAAGTATTAAATGACAAGTCTTTATTATCTGATGGCATCACTACCTATTTCCCATGCCCTTCTTATAAAAGTCTCGTAGTGGAAGCTGCTACTATATATTTTTATGTTTTTTAAAGTACATGGAGATGCAACACATGCTAGTACATGTCTGCCTGAGAGAATTTAGGGGTCTGACAGGACTCACAGCCTCTCTATGCTTCGATTCAAGACTTGGGGGTATGTTTGGAAAGAGGGGCTGACCAGGCTATAGTGCTTTTGGTCCAGGGGAGGAACTGCTCTCCCACCTTAGTTGCATTAAGATGTAGAAGAGATTTTCAGTTTGGTGTTTTTCTTTCAATAGGTGTAGAGTGACTGCAGGAATCTTACTTGCAAGTCTGTGAAAGTAGTGTTTGGTGTTTCTGGTTCTTCCTAGAGGTGACACCATTATTATATTGTTCATAGCTGTTCCACATACCTCTTGTCATTTAGGTAAGGTTTGTGTTTCCTAGAGAAATTCAGCAGACACTGGAGAATGGGCAATTGAAAAGATCCAGGTTTGATGGCAGGGACTGGAATGCTAAAAGCCTCCTCAGGAACCCCAGGCTTAGGCATCTGAGTTTGAAGAGATACACTTGGCCACTGATATGATGCATTTGAAAAATGTTTGTTGGTTGTTCAGGAAGTAGCAGAAAACTGAACCTCCTATGCATTTTCTTTATACTCATTTTTATTGAGGGTCCAAATTGTATATATTGTGTTTACTGAAAAAGTAAATTTTACTCTAGATGATTACAAGATTAATTTGTCACCCAAAATCCTTTGCTTCTTCATGCAGAGCCTGGTTCAGGTTTAAAATGTTCAGATTTTGGGTGGGTATAATTCTGTTGAAGGCCCTCTTTGTATTTAAATGGAAGTTATATTCAGGGAGGGGTAGACAAGGTGAAACAGTTAGACAGGGATGCCTTCTTAACTATTCTGTAGCAAGGAAGATTTTTCAGCTTGGACTGGCAAACTGGTGCATTCCAGGCTGGGGCAATCAGTCCCCCCTGTATTGGGTATGGATAATTGCAGGTGCTTCACTAGGGAGAAGTAAATGGTTTGGATTTTTTTTTCCATAGCTCCTACTCCGTCAATTTAGTAATTTCAGCCATTATGATCCCATTTTCCACATGCATTTTACATTAGATTTTTACTTCATAAATACAGTATTTTATAAATTATTTGCATTTATAAATGCATTCTCAGTTTACACGTGCAGGCAAACACAATAAATGCAGAGTGTGTTTTTCCATGATGAAAGCTTTATTGTATTGGAAATGTTAACAATAGCTCAGACATATACAGAGTGTAAATATTTCTGCAGTTAAACAGATATTTGCCGTCTTCTGTCACATCCTCAAAATTGTTCCTTTCAAGTGTCAAAAATGTTGGTGTTTGTACAGAAAAAAAGCAAAAACATATGTATCAAAACAAATTCTGTTGCAGGATAAAGTAGCATAAATCAGTTTAAATCTATTAATTTTATACTAGTTTTAACAAGCATGCACTCCTGCAGATGCTTTTTGATAACAGAAGAAAACAGGGAAAAAAAATCTATGCAGCATAATATATGAGAAGCTTGAAAACAAGACTGATTAATGTGCCAGCTTCAGAATATTGTTCCTGATACCAGGCACTGTACATTTCACAGTTACCATGTGGAGAGTTGTTGATTTGGCCTACTCAAAAATACATGGACATGACGAAGTGTTATTTTTTTATTTGCATTTCTGGTTTTCTGCATGTAAGCAAAATCAGTTGTTTTCAGTAATAGATCGTAGCAAAAGGCATTTGTCTTTCTCTGTGCTAGTTGGTATTTATGCACAGGAAAGATTTCAAGATTAAATTCTAATCAGTAGTAAGCAAGGAACTAACCTTTTTTTAATTGAGATTTTGACATTATAAGCACTTGTTCAGCGTTTTAACATAATTATCAGAGTATTTTCCTTGATGTCTTTAGAGGGAGGCTGCAGATTTGGGGAAATCTGTATCATTTGGTGCTTATATAATGTTGTCGTAATAAAAGCAGAAATTAGACTAGTATTTGTAATCTAATTTATGACATTTGTTTCTCAGTGATATTTCTTGTGTTTAGAAATATGTATTACTTTGCAACAGCTTGTAACATGAAATAGAAAAGAAAGAATATGCTGTATAGTAATTAGTATTGGGAAGGTAATTTAGAGCAAATTTGCTTTCCTTCCCAGGCATGTAATTCCAGAATTATTTAAGTGGGATTCTGCCAGACTGATATCAATATAAGTGACAGCTGAATTTGGTCCCCTAAAAGCGATGCATGTGTCATGCATTCCATTTTACCTCTGGGGAAGGGTCTTGAATTGTTTTTGTTCCAGTCCTTGTGGTTTTAGGGGAAGCACTGTAAGATGCTCTCTTTTTTTCAGTACTGTGACATATTTGATTTGCTGGTTTTTTTCCAAAGAAGTTTATATTGCTGATGTATTTATTTTTATATTGATGACAGGGATTTATTTTTCCTACAAAGCTTACCAGTTCTGTAGACACACAAGAAGTGCCATCTAATCTTTCAGTAGTTACAGTTATTTTCTAAAGCATACTACACCTTCCAGCAAAAATTTCTTTCACTGTCTGTCATTAAATCAGTATTCTGAATGACAATAGACTGCACAACATACAAACTGGAGTGAGCAACAAAAAGACACGTCCAATATCTAGGCTATGCCAAAGTGACCTTCTCTTCTAAACATATATGCACAACTGCTGTCTCCTTTCTTGCCTGAAAGACACTCATTTCCTATCACCATAAACATTCCAATGACTTGGCTGAGTATGTAAAGAAATAATGATTGATGTTCTTCCTTCCTGCTGAAATTCCTACAGTAATTAGGAAGCAGGAATCAGAAAGGAGGAAAATCCTATGGAAGAATGAGGTGAACGTTGCTCATTGATCCTTTTTCCAGTGTGGTGATAAATTCTCCAGACTTGGCCTGAGCTATTCTAACACGAGCTACGTTTGGTGCTGTTGGTGGTGCAGCAGAGAAATTCCTTGCTTAAGTTACTTAAGTTTGTGTTGGCCTCTGTTATTTTGACATCGTGATTTCAAATGGCTTCTATCATTGCTCTTGTTCCCCCTTTATGTTTATCCCATTAGTCTTTTCTCACCTGAAAAGGGACAGCTACTTGCAGCTTCTGAGGATTTGGATAGGGCAAACTAGGTCTCAGATTTTTCTCAAACATCCTTTAACTTCCTACAGCAGTATGGATTTTACTGTAGAAAAGGGAGAACAGTTTTGCTTGGATTAGGTTTGTTATCATGTACAAGAGAATACAGTCATTGTAAAAGGAATTCATGAAATAAGACAAACACTGTAAATTGAATGAACTGACTGTATCTGTCACTAAGTTGAACTTCAACTAACAGTAAGGCTTGTTTTTTTTGCTTTTATTAATCATACTCACTGAATTTGAGTCATATTTTTCAAACTAAACCTGAGTCGAGCGCTGTGTACTTATTGAAGTATTCAGACTGGCTATTATTCAATACGAGTAATCATGTTTGGTCTCTCTTGTGGATATGCTCCTCCAGAATCTCACTCTTCCTTTCAGCAGCAGTGGTGGTGAATATTTGGGAAGTCCCTTTGGGGAATTTCCTCTCTCATTTAGTTTTTCTGTTGTACTCTTCACACCCGCTCTCTGCTCCCAACTCTGCCATCTGCTATACTTTCTTTCCCCCTCCACTCTGTTCAGCTTTGGCTTCTTCACACCCCACTCCCACGTCCCTTTCTGTCTCTCTTCATCTGCCCACCACTCAATCTCTTCAATGTTTGGGTATGGAACTAAGCCCACAAGAACGGGTCAGAACTTTAAAGGGGGAGGGCGGTGAGTTTGGGGGCATGCTTTGATTTGTTTGTTGCTGTTGTTTTTTTGGTTGCTTCTTTTTTTAAAAAAAAAAATGTATTTAGGCCTTTATGAATCCAGCACACATCCACTGGACACACAGAAACCCAAATACTGATTTTTTTGTAAGAAAGCTATGTGAGGTGCATTGTCATCCAAGTTTGTCTGGTGAACAGCTTGCTGCAGCTCTACATTTTTGTGCACATGTTATGCATGCATATTAGCAAGTCATCTTTGTCTTGAGAAGTAAAGATCTTGCACATAATTTGCCTAGTTACTTTACAGTTACAGTAGCTAGAATACATACTTCAGTCTTCTTGTAGCACAGAAAAAGATGTTCTCTTTCCCTCTATTTCCTTAAGTTTTATAGAACAGAATTTTTAACTGATTTACCCTGGTGTCCAGAGAGAATAACAGTCTTTTACAGCAACAGTCCTACACGGTCCTGAAATGTACTCTTGTATGAAAAAGGTACAGCAAATGTATTTAGCAGCTGTAGGGTGTTAGTCTAACTAGTATAAGTTGGATTTCAGAATGCCTAAACAAAGATTTGAACTTCAGTGTGATTATTTGAATGCTTTTTAGATTTAATGGGTTTATTAAGTGAAATGTCTTTAAGTGAATGTCTATTTTCCTTTTAAAATTCCCAGCATTTGTTTTAAAAATACACTTTGCCTGTGTTTTAGGATATAGAAGCAGCAGAAAAAAAGCTGCAAGAAAGAGTGTGTTTACTTCCACATCCTGAAACTGTTAAGTTAGAAGTAAGTCCTAGAACTCTGTCTTTTTATGTGCTGTTTACCAAATATTTTGTTGGGGTTTTTTTCCCCTGAAGCGTGTTCTTAAAGTGAAAATAATTGATTTTAAAATCCAGTGACTGGTATAGCCAAAGGCCTGTGTACTATGTAGCAAGCTGAACCTAAATTCTGGGGCAAGGTCCCTAGATTCTGGAGCATTCTGGTGGAAATATTTTATCATCTTTCAGATCTGTACAAAATTCTATTTTAAAATGAAGTCAAATATAAAAAAATTAATATTGTAAATATCAGAGAATTACTGTGTTTATTATGTTAGAGTAATTTAGTTTGTTTTATATGGTCATCCCATTCTCAGTTTGCCACAGATTGTCATCTTTACATTTCAGGGTCAACAGTTTATCAGCATGAACAGAGGAAATTTCACTTCAGTTATTTTGTGGTTATATGGAAGCTTACAAAAAGTACTGCTGCTGCAGGAACACTCTATTTTTGCTTCTCAACCTGGAGACTGTAAACATTATTTGAATATAAAAAGTTTGAGCAGCCAGATTCCCACTTGTGTTTCTTGCACCAATGGTTTGTGGGGTTTGCGTTGCGTGGTGATTTAGTCCTCACAGGCACAGCAGCACAGTGTCCCACACAAGTTTGGGTGCTGGGGCACTGTCAGGGAAGGGCAAAGGTATGTTTTTAGCGCTGTCAGCTGTGAAAAGAGGTGTATTGTGCCTTAGCTTCACACCTGCTGGGCAAGTGTTGTCATGCTTAGGCTATTACTTAAATGAGAGGCATCAATTCTTGTTCTGGTTACTGTTAAAAGTTTTTATCTGTCATTGCGTTTTGTAGACAGCCTGCTGTGACTGTGGCTTTTTTATTATTCTTATTTTTAGACATTTTTAGGCATAAAGGTTTTTTTTTTTTCCTGGATACCTATACATCTTGATTGATGCTAAGAAAGATGCCAAGCTACTAATACTGAACCTATTTTTACTGTGTTTGGAGGTAGTTCTAGACTCCTTGAGGACTTTTGAGACACCAGCTAGGGTTTTCTGGGTCAGTTTTGGACTGCTGCTCCCTCTGTCCTGTGTTGGGTGCTGAGCTGCTTGCACCATGTAAAGCCAAGTCCTCACAAATCAGAGACTGCCGAGCGACTGCTCTGGCTGCAGAATGTCTGCACTCTGCAGCAGCGGTGGAATTTTAGAGAGAGCAGAGTTACTATTTGGAGGAGAAGATCCTATTTCAGCTTTTTTTTTTTTTTTTATACTTCTAGAGAGGAGTGCTATAAATAGTGGAAAAAGAAAACTTTCTTTCATGGTACAAAATTCTTGTGCGTGCTTTGTTCCAAAACACTTCTGAGCATATTTCACTCAGCCATATATGTGTCTGTATTAATATACTCTGAAAGTTATGGCTATAATGGATCCCCAGCTTGCTAAGTCGGAGTAGTTTTGTGTGACAGCACATATGCTTGTCAAAAAAGATTCTTTGAGTAAATCTGTTGAAGAAAATATTTTTGTAAATCTGCAAGAGCCACGGTTATATCTGAGCTACATGCAAGGATCAAAATGATTAGCCAGGAATCTAATACCCTGCAGGGAGATGTTCAGTTTTGGGCTACGTTTCTCCCACATTACATAATTAAGTAAAATAAAAAGGCTCACTACATATGTACCATAGCTGTTCTCTACTACAAAATTACTTTTTTCTGAATGGACATCAGTGACTAAAAATACTTTCATTGGTGGATGGATTAAGGTGTTGGCTTAATACGGTTCTTCAATCACATTATTTTTGTGGGAAAAAAGATAATACACAGCACTTGAAATTTTCCTGAAAATCCTGCAAACAACAAAGTTATTCTTAGGATACCAATACAAACATGATGAATTCCACAGATAAATAATAAGTTAAATTCATTACTCAGAGGCACAGCATAATGCAGGAGGAAGGGTTAGATGATCCACAGTGGTTTTCCTAGACTGCAAGCTAAGTATACAGATTTTTTTTTTATTATTTGTTGGTCCAAATAGTGGGGATTATAACTTCATCAGTGAGTTATCACATCTAAAATTTTACTCAAATATTTAGAACTAAAGTACTGCAGACTCTTCTAGCATAATCAGTTTATGTTGGTAAATGTGCACTTTTCATTTCTAATATTAAACCGGGTTTTTTTCCACTTAAAAATTAAATTCCACTAACATACATACTTAAATATAAAAGCTGTTTCAGGAAAAGTATATTATCATGAAAAATAGTTTATTAAAGGTACTGTGAGGGTCTAAACTAATCTGTTGCTTACCACAAGAGGGCACATTCAGTCACTTCACAGTTCATGCTGCAGAATGAAATCTTTCCAGGCTGATATTTTGTATCATTCTAGAAATCTGAAATTTCATGTGTAAGTACATTATTGTTTTCTGGATTGCTTCACTCATAAAGTAAGATTTAATAATGTTTTGCATATCTATATTGTTTTAAACAGGCTGACACAGATTTTGAAATTAAGTTTATTTTTTCTTATATCTTTCTCAGACTCTCTATTGGGCATCAATAAAAGAATCTCTTCCCAAGTGGGAAGAATTTCTTTTAGGAAGAGCAGAAGTTCCTATTGGCTTTAAGAAAATGAAAGCTACAAAGCAGAACATAAACTACTCAGAAGACGACTCACAAAAATAAACATTCTAGTTGCATTTTGTTTTGTAATTTATTACTTAAGCAGAGAAGATCATCCAGATCGGGCAACAGAATATCATGCCAGTAAATTGAAATGTAAATAATTTAAATTAAAATTAACTGTATTGGATAATTTGATTCCATTGTTACATTGTGTACAATTCCTTATTTTTGTTCTGTGTTAGAGGAGCGATCCTCAAAGGGGCTTTTAGGATCAAGAGTGAGAAACACTGGTGTATAGATTTCCACCAAGGCAATTGCTTTTTCAGTATGAGAAGAGTTTTAGGTTATTTTTAATCCTCTGCTTCTACATGTAAGTGCGATAAGTAAAGACAGATTCTTGCATTATCTTTCTTCACTTCAGTCATCTGTGCTGCATGCCTGTTCGTGGATGAGGGAGAGAGCAGGAATTTACCATTAGGAGGAAAGGCAGGCTGTGTGCATCAGAGTAGCCTTGGTTTAGCACCAAGAATCTGTAAAAACCTTCATGAGAGCAACGGTGGAAGGAACAACCTTGAATTTCCATATCCTGTTTTCCCTGATTTTTGTCATTGCCACTTTCATCACTTCTGCACCTCACTCCAGTAACCACTGCTGCTTTTCCCAACCTCCTTCTGCCTACGTTGTATTTCCTGTCTAAGGGGTAGGGAAACAAATCTCCAGGGCTTTTCGCTACTTTGAGGATGCCCTTAATGCTATTTTCATTCTGTTGATATAATCTACGAGTGAGAACTTTTTCTTAGACGTGAAAAGTTTGGGAGAAGCAGACTGAAAGGTAGGTGGAAGTGGCTGTCCAAGAACAAAGCATATATAGAAGTTGAGGAGCTAATAATTTCATTTCAGACATTGAACAGCTGCTCAGCTTCCTCCTACAGAGGTGTAGTATTGGTGAGTTTTAATTGTGCAGTGGGCTAACTTGATATGAAAAATTCAGAGTACAGAACTTCAGTATCAGTTCAATCGAAGATCCTTCCAGGTGTGTGATGTGGTCTGCAGAAATTGAATCCTTCCCAAGCAAAAGAAGCCTAGAAAATACTATTTTTTTCTTATTATTAAGAACCTGTACTCGAGTCAATATACTGTTAAAATTTAATCTCATATCCAACAATATAATTCCACCCCAACCTGGAAGTAGGAGAAAAAAAATTTATCTCTGCCAGTGTCTGAGGATATGAAAATGTAATGATTACAAATTTTACTAAGCTACTAGTTAACTGTCTATGCATTTCCATGCTACAGAGATATAACCTACTGGTTAAATATATATAACTCTGTGTAGCATGAAGAATCACTGGCACAATAAAATCAAAACTTCAGCTGCGATATAAAATTTTTGTATGTTTTCCACAGGAATATTAAGAGTTCATTTAAAACTTTTTCTATTGAAGTGTCCATTAAACTGATAAGTTTTTACAGAAACTGCCATCTTAGAATTATCCTGTTGAGTGGGTGTTGGTGTTTGTAACAATAACGTTGTTTTCATAATATGTGATGGCAGATTAGCACGCTTCTCTGCAGTGTTGTTAACAGTTGTAATTAAGGAATAAACAGTAAAGGGTGTCAGTCCGATGACAATTTCATCTATAGTGTCACAATACAAAATGTCACAAAATATTAGAACTGTTATATAACTACAAAAATATCAAATTAGGCTTTCATCTTACAAGCTGAGAGCTTAAAAAAAACCTGGCATAGAGACTATTGCAATTTTATACCTACTCAGTGTTCTGTCACAAAGACAACTTGGTAATATTTTCTTCTGTAAGCTCACAATGTGATTCTCAATCTGATTTAGCGGGAATGTGGATGGATCTTACAGTAATAGAGCTCACATTTAAAAAGCAAATACTTGGAGCCAGTTGAGCAGACAAGAAGGGAAAAGCTATTGCACATGATGCCCAGAATGAAGGGATGGGTGAGCAGTTAGTCACTAACAAAGACTGGGATTCATCCCGGTCTTTGCATCCAAAGGGAAATCACTTAAACTAAAATCTGGCCCCTAAGTACTTTATACATAGGAATAATCTGGGTCTTTATCTCTTTTGACTCCGCCTCACCACTGGGACACAATGCAGATACTCACTATCTCCTTGCCCCTTGTGAATTCCCCTGGAAGGAGAGCTAAGTGTGTGGACATTGAGGGCATGGCAGCTGGATGGATGAGGATTTGGCAGCGTGCAGGGAAGGGCACCTGCAAGCAGGATTAGAGTAGTTTCCATGCTGCAGTTGGGTGTTCACGTAGCGTGCATGAGATTAAAATGAAATTATCTTCAAAGAAGGAGTTTAATTTTTCCTGCAGCATAACTTTAGAAGCACTAGGACAACAAGTGCAAGGAAAGCTGTATAGGAAGGTGTCCAGAAAAGTAAAAATTGAAGAGAAACATTAAAAGCAGGAATGTTTGTAGGTGACTGCTCTCAGAGACAAGGGCCTTCGTGTTGGCCTGTGGTCTGAAACAAATGAATGCAATTGCCTGTGACTGTGAAACAGCACAGCAGTAGGGGCAGGGGGGACACAGCAGGGACATTAAGGTACAGGAGCGAGTGTCTCCTGATTTGGCACAGACCTCGGGGCACACAGTGTCAGGGAACATAATTATATGGCATCTCCTGTTCTACTTAGTTTGTTAAGTTTAGTTTACTACAGCTGAGCTAGCTTGCTGCTCGCCTTTCTATAGGTACAGATTTGAGAAAGCAAATGAGAAACTTTAGTGTGTTTAAAAAAAAAATTTTAAATTCCCCCAAACTGATTGATACTGATGTGATTCAATATTGGCCTTATATGACATCCTGAATGGGTGTTCTACACCAAGTCAAGGCTATTACCTTAAACATATCAATTCTATGTAGTTACCACATCTTTTACCAAACTTTTATATATATATAAATATAAAATATAGATATTACATCATAGATATCTTCTGTAATTTCCTACCCATCCTGACTAAGTGTTTTTCCCTTAAAAAAACCCTAACTTGTTACTCTGCAGTCTTGACTTGCTACTTGCCCTATTACGTTAAAATATATTATATGTGTATGCTGCAGTGGTCCTAAGAGCCTGTTGCTTCTGGTGCTTTTTTGGTGGGTGGGGAACAGCAATTGAGAGAAGAGCAGTGAGAAAACCCAAAGGTTTTGCCTGTCTGTAAGTTCATCTTTGAGTATCTTGCAAGAAGAAATAATTAATCATCCTTTTTTAGGTTTATGCACAGATGAGTAGCCCCAATGCTAACCCAGGAGCACAGCCTGTTCACCCATCTTGTCACCTCTGCCATCACATTCCCAAGCTTTTTACTTTCTCAGTTATTCTGGCTGTGGGGGCAGGAGCAGAAGGCATGCATGTTAGTTTTCCCTAGGATAAGAAATTTCTTACTCTGCACAATCTTCCTCGAGATTATTAATTTAATTTGGGAGTACATTTGAAATAATAAGTTGGTTTGGACAAATGATATTTGATACTATGGTATCTAGGTTGTATTTATTCAGGGTCATGTTTTCATAGGAGCTGGGAGCTAAATTTTAGGCTGTCATTTCTGTCTTTTTCATTCACATAGAGCAGGTTGGGGATAGAGATGCTCAGTTTGAGTTTGTTGGTACTGAAAAATAAGAAAACCAAATTTGATATGGAATGTACTTTTAGAGGTTATATCTGAAAGAAAATATTATTTACTCCATAATGGTAATTTTCATAATATTTTAATAGTTGTGTTCAGATACAACTTGACCTTAAATATCACCCCAAATGCAAGCTGTTTTAACATATTTGTAATGCTAAGGTCTTCATTACTGTGATATTCTGTTTGCTCAAGGATTATAATCCATGGATATACTGTGTTATAGTTGAAATAAAGCTTTGATCCTGTAGTCACTGCCTCCTGGATCTCGGTGTTATATTACATGTATGAGTTGGATGTAAGTTGGTGCCTGTGGTAGCCAAGTGTGTGAACAGCAAGTAGGCCAGTGATAAATACTTTGTTCAGGTATAGTGTTTAATTTCCTGTGACTCTGATATGAAATTCTAATCTGCTGAGTGAAGATTAGAATCTCAGAAGTTTACTGCTGAAAAATCCAAGTTTAATGACTCCCAGATCGATTATTGGCACCCCTCCTATTGTTTCACAATAACTGAGCTAAATTACTTCAGATATGCGATTACTAGGAAGATGTAGATAGAGAGACTTAAGCCCTTGCAAAGGAAACAGGTGGGGGAAAACGGTTCTTTAGTACATCCTCCTGCTGTGTGAAGCTCTTTGTCTTAGCTATAAATAGCGTGATTTAATTTGGGAATTTGCTACTCCTTTTAAACACAGTTGAAACAGCTCTTGAAAATGCGCTAAATTGTACCCGCTGTGTATGGAGCCTTCCAGTTGTATCTTTTACATTTTACTTACTTTGAATACGTCTGTTTTTAACGCATACAGATAGGAAGTATGCTCACTTCTCCCATAAGTTTTATCGCTAGTGATGATGATCTTAAAAATAAATGTGTGGTGTTCTTTCTCCTCACTCTCAGTCGTATCACCTACCAGAAAGCCCTAATAGGCAACAAAATAGTGTGAGACGGTATTTACATCACACTTTTGAAACAGATTCAAGCAGAGCCAGCTGCTGTAAGATTATTTTACAAATCTATTGCAAATTAATAATAGGAAAAAATTGCCTTTCTTTAAGTAAATTACAGTCTCCTTGACTAATTACGTAGCTTGAAGCTGCAGTAAATAAGTACCTGTCTCACTGCGGTGTTGGGAAATGTAATTTTGATATTCAGACCTGCCTTTCTTTACCCATTTAGTTCGCATGTGTTCCCAGTAGCTTCATTTCGCGGAGCTCTGACTGTTGCTCAGTAAAAGCTTCCGGAGGATGATGTGCCCAAGTGGAGCACATGCCCGCAGCTTTGTTCGGCGCGGTCGAACCTGCGCGCCCCGCGCCCCGGCGGTGCGGGCTCTGCCCGAGGGGCAGCGCTGCTCCGAGCCGGGAAACCCCGAGCCCAGCGGCTGTGGGAAAGGGAGAAAGGAGACAAAAGAAACCCCCCAAACCCATTGCTTGGTGGTTGCCTGGTGTGAAATGCGCTCGCTGTGGTGCGGGGGAGGACAGACGGACGGCGGTCGGTCGTGTCGGGGCGCAGGGACTGCGCGTTGCCGGGAACGGTGCGCTGGGAGAGGGAACGGGGAGCCTGTTGTGTGTGTTCTCCCTCACTCAAAGGCGCCGAGATTCCCAGGAAAGCTCTGGGCAGAGGGTTTGATTCCTTGGAAGTGTTCGTAATGATACCCATAACGATGAAAAACGTATCCGTAAATCTCTTGGGAAAAGGTTTGTGTATGTGACCCAGAGTGTGGCAGCTCCCCGTCACCTGGGAACGGTGTTTAGAAGGCGCTTAAACTACTGCAGCCCCTTTGCGCTATTTCTCGGACATTTCTTTGTATCAAGTTTCCGAGTACACTTGGCTTTTTCCTCTATAATCAGCTTTCTCTTGCTGGATTCATTGAGTGATGCGATAATCCAATGTTGGTAATATCTCAATTCATTAACATAATGAATCAGAAGGAAGAGGCTGATTATAAATCAGAAAGCTTCTATTTATGTGAAATATCTTGGCAACTGGCAGCAGTGAGGAAGACAGTAGAAGGAGTATCAGACAGTTAACAGGACCTCGGGAACGCGGCTGCAGGAGGACTCAGGTGCTCTCTGCTATTTAAACGCCTTAGCCCTCCAAAGGACAATTGTGCCCATTGCAGCGAGGCAGCAGCGCTGATTTGGGGAAGTACCCGGCTCCCGTGGCCTCGGTCTCCCAAGTGGTTCAAAGCGCCCATCCCCGTTGTTTGGGACAGGGTTTTGCTCCCGGCCGCCGCTGGCAGGTCAGCCCGGGGGGTTGGGACAGGGGCTGCCGCCTCCCCCCACCCACTGCTGTGGCCCATCATCCACGGCCTGAGGAGGCCCGGATGGGGCCGGGGGTGCTCCGAAATGCTCGTCAGGGAGCCGGGAGAAGCGAAGCGGGTCCAGCGAGATGCCCAGCCCCTGTCCTGTCGACTGGGAGTACTTTTGCCCCCGGACCAGATTTCTTTTAAAGTTACTCGTCAGCCTGCTTCTTCTGCAAACGGAGAAGATGGCAAAGAGGCAAATATTTGTAGAAGTCAAGTTTTATGTTGTTTTGGGCTTATACACTCAGAGTTCTGGGAGCAGACCCCTTTTCTGCACTCCGTGTCTGTCCCCGCTGGGGATCATAAAGCGTTTTGGTGACTAAACACGCTCTTACTCCCAGAGTCACTTTAAAGCAGATTTTAAGAGCACTGGTGACTTGAAGCACCCACACTGAAAGGCCACATGGCCCGGCTGCAGCCCCAACACCTGATGAGGAGGGGCAGCCCGTTGTAAAATGGAGAGCACAGAAGTTCCAAATGCACCCTTTTCCTCTTTTTTTTTTTTTTTTTTTTTTTTTTTTTTTTTCATTGAGGGCACATGTTGCCCATGATTGAATCAATTAAGCAATTGCAATAAGTCAATGAGATAAATACAAATAACGTGAGGAGGCTGTGGGCCAGGCAGGGTTAGCAATAGGAGTAGGGCAGGAGTGGGGTTATAAAAGGTGGGGAAGGGTCACCTAGAGAGTCAGGGCAGGTGGTAGAAACAAACTGGTAAGAGCGTTTTTGCCCCCTTTTTATGTTTTTTTTCCTAAGGCCCTGTGGTGATGGTGTTGTTTAGCACAGCACCGTGGCTGTGGAGAAGGTGGGGAGAGTAGGAAGGCAGATGTTTAAGGCAAAGCTGCCCATGGTGCAAGGTCTGCCTGCAGAAGCCCTCAGGAGAGGAAGGGCATGGGGTGAGTGTGTCACCCAGCAGCCCCCCCAGCACCCCAGCCCGGGGGGTGGGTGCCTGTCCCGCAGCCATGGCCTGCCAGTGGCCCCCTCTGCCTGCACAGCCCCAGGGCCTCGCTGCCTTTCACCATCCCGTCCGCAGGAGGCTGCCCAAGGGGTCCAATGCGGCCGGGCGGCCGACAGCCCTCGCCGTGGCCGCTGCCCGTGCTGACCGAAGGGCGATGCCTACGCCGGGACCTGCTGTGCCGTCTGTCCCTCGGATGCAGGGGCATCTTCCTCCGACCCTTTCTTCTCTCTGCAGAGCACGGCTTTGGGTGGCAGCACAGCCCCGACTCTCCGGGGGTATCCAGGGTCCAAATCTGAACAGGTAGGGACGGCCTGAGGAAAGATGCAGGAGGTGTTAGGGAGTTGGCAGGGGCCACGCCGTGAGGGCTGGGGAAGGAAGGACAGCAAGGGCCGGCAGTGAGAACACCGAGAGCCAGAAGGACAGCAGTGCCCGCACCCCAGCCGTGGGAGGGCGAGGCCCTGAAACCCCTCCCTGGAGCGGACTCTGGAGGGGGTGGGCCGGCACGCTCGAGGCCCAGTGGGCTCGCTTAAAGATAACGCAAATACTTCCGTAAAACTGCTTAAAGCGAGAGACGGACAAGTCCTGCAAGAAATTGGGCGTCCTTGGGGACGTGGCGGGTTGGGAAAGGCATGTGTCAATTTAGCCCTAGTGTTGACTTAAGCGAAAGTGCTAAGCCATTCCTAAACCTAAGTCAATACAGACTTAAGCCAAAATTGTTATTAACGAGCTCTAATCTGATTTAAGAGCCTCCGAGCGAGCCGTGTCTACACGAGCGCGTTGCCTTTCGCTGCGCTCCGCGGTACCCGGTCCCCCGGGGGGGCCGCGGCCCGGGACAGCGGGAGGGTCGGGAGAATGCATCCCCAGGCAGGAGGAAGGCGGGTTTCGAGGAAAGCCGGGCCGCAGTGATTTGGGATGACCGGTGATCTCCCTCCGCGGGACAACCTCTTAAAACTGTACCCAGCTCGGCTGGCGTGGGGCGGTTCGGGGCTGTGCAAAACCCTGGGCCGGGGGTGTTTGCAGCTGGGGCCGGGGCTGCCGGGACCTCTCGGCCGTGCCTGGCCCGGGGGTCGTGCCGAGGGCCGGCAGCTCCGCTCGCTCGGGAGAGGGACATGCCAATGCATTTTTTCCCCCGTCCCAATGGGGCAGTTGAGCCCTCCACTCCACCCCCCAGTGGGGGCCTTTCTTTTCTTCCCCACCAGCTTTGAGCAGCCCTGTTTCAGATTGGCCTTTTTATGTTTGATATAAAGAATAGTTGTTGGCCAATTCCATCTTTTCATCGCTGCTCTCCAGGCCCGGGTCCAAGCGGCTTGTCAGATGCTCATTAACTCCCCCTTTGGCTCTTTCCAGTGTGTCTCCTAAGCTCATTGTGCCAAGAACTAGCGCTTCTTTCTCTTTACACGGCTCCCTTTCTCTGCTCCATCAGGGAGACAAATTACTTTCCAAAAGGGATCGCCAGGGATGGTTTAATGAGAATTTCTCTAGCGCTGGCCGTGGAAATCAATGTAGTTAACATTCGGTGCACTTAATTGGACTTTTCTCTTCTGCCTCCTTCAAAAAAACTCTGAAGCTATCCTGTTAATCTCTCATTTGTAATCAATTGTGTTGACTAAACAAAAGTCTAGGTCGTCCTTTCTTCCTGTCCCAGACAATCCTTTGTTGCCTCTAAATGCCTCATTCTTGAGTGCTCCTGGTCGTGTAGATGGGTCCGATTTTTGACAGTTCATTATTGCGCTTTTGTCCATTTAATCTCCCTCGCTGTGTTTTGCATGTGCATGCCTTAATGAGCTCCGTTGGCAATTAACATGTTTCTAGCAGCAAACTGGTTGCTCAGACGTTTGGAGAGCGGAGTGCAGGGAAAAGGGCAACGCAGCTGCCTATAGGTTGGTCGCTTCCCGGTGCCCGGCGCGGTGCCGGGACGCACCTGGGAGCCGCCCGGTGCCGGGGAGGTGCCGCGCCGGGCCGGGCGGGCCGAGGGGGGAAGCCCGGCG